TCTTGGGGCCCCAGGTGTCAGCGGTGGGTCTCTGCTGGCTACCCCCGCCCCGCGCTAGCCCCTACAGCTGATTTGCGCCCGGCTGGAGGGCGGCCTCCCACCAGAATATGACCAGGCGGTGGGCTCCCTGCTCTCAGGTCTGACCTCACCTCCAAGAATAGGCCTGGCGCGCAGTGGTGCCTAGTGGATAGTTTGGAGTGAATGAATAAGCCCCCTCCCCTGGAGAAAAGGAGGCCCTTCTTTTCCAGGCTGGCCCTTCTCCACCCGGGCCAGTGTCCCCTGGCAGCGGCGAGTGGGCTGGGCTTGCATCTGGGCGGGCAGGGCCGAGGCCGAGTTCCCAGCACCCTAACAGGGCCTCCCCAGCGAGTGGGTGGGGGCGACTCTGGCCTGGGGACCTGCTGACCCAGGGAGGGCCCAGGGAGGTGAGCCGGCTGGTACTGTGCTCAGAGCTGCAGGCAGGGCGAGGTGCTCGGCAGGGGGACAGCTTTGGACTCCCGCAGGACTGACTGGTGGCCCTTCCCTGTCCCTCAACTGTCCCCTCCAAGTGCTGGGGCCGACTCAGCCTGTCATCAATGTGGCCGGCTCAAGCCTCCCGCTTGTCTGCTCCCTGGAGCAGCTAGAGGTGAGGAGGCCCAGGCTCCCATGAGCTGGCTGAGTGTGCGCCCATCCTGGGGAGGGGAGGCCAGGGAGGCAGGCGGACACCTTGGCCTTGGCTGGCCCCACCCCAGGAGCAGCTATAAAGAGGAGGCCAGGGAGGGGCCTCCAGACAGTCCCCTGTAGAGGACAGGGCTGCTGTGGAAATGGAGAGGGGCTGTGGGGGGCTACAAATGGAAGTGGGGTGCCCCCAGTATAGAGCCCCCTCTATAGGGCCAGCAGCTGGGGAAGGGGGCCAGAGCCTCTCTGTCTCTTGGAATCCCTGCTCAGGGTTTTTGCTGGAGCCCTTAACCAGCTGCAGAGGGCGGGCAGCTGTGGCATGTGTGAGTGTGTGTTTGGGGTGTAGGGACCCCTGCACCAGTGGAGGGGGAGGCCCAGCCAGGTGCTCTGCGTTTGGGACGGGGCCTGAAGTGCTGCTGCCCCTAGAGGCTGGGGCAGGCCCTGCGCGGTGGGCGGGCGGTGGAGGAGGGCTGGGGTGGGGTGCTGGTGACCATTTCTCATTTCTGGCAGCCTCCCTGGGCCAGGAGCTGGGGCTCTCAGGGCAGGTAGCCCTGAGGATCCCAGAGGGCAGGGAGGCACTCATGCAGTGGGGCAGCCTAGGGGAGTGTGTGCTGGCCACAGGTGTGCACCCATCTGCGTGTGGATCATGTGTGTCGCATGTGTAATGAGTCGACAAGTGTCATGTCCAGCGTGCTTGGGTGCATGCGCCTCCCTGTCCTCTCCAGGGCCGCACTTTTGGCCCCCAGGCCTCAGGAGGGCAACTCTGGCCCTGGGAAAACTGCATGCATGCCACCCTCCAGACTGCCCCAGATCTGTTCTAACGTCCCAGGTCCCCCCTAATTGCCACCCCTCCTTTCCTCCAGGCACTCAGCCATCTCTCCCCACTCCGGGCAGGGCTGAGATCTTGGTCCAGCTTCTGGTCCCCAGTGGACGAGGCAGAGTTGGGACTCACACTGAATGAAGTCCCAAAGAAGTGAAAACCGAATGCCCCCAGAGGCGGGGGCAGGGTAGGGGATCGGGGGTGGGCCCAAGGCTGTGAGGTGCAGCTTCTCTCTGCAGGATGGTTCAGGAAGCCTCCTCCCAGAGCGCACAGGGTGGCGGTGTGAGCCGGCATCCCTGCCACGCCCGAGGCGCTGGGACAGCACAGCCCATGAACGTCCGGCGGGCACGACAGCCCAGGGACCTGGGCGTTGAGTAGGGGTGTGTCCTGCAGCCTGGACAGGCAGCGCCCTCCACGCCAGGCCGGGGCCCTCGCTGCCCCACCAGGTCCCTCTCAGACCAGTCCAGGTGGCTCCGGGGTCTCGGTGCAGTCATTGCCTCTCACACCTACAGGATGCAAGCCACATCACAGGCACACAGGTGGGCACAGATATCACAGGCACACACATGGGTACAGACATGCCCAAGCACTGAGCATGCCGGAGGTCCCCAGGTGTGGTGAGGTGGTGGCCCTCCACCAGGCACCTTCCTCCTGGGCCCCCACTGGCTGCAGCAATCCTGGGGAGGGTAGAGTTTCAGCCCCCAGCACCTATAGGGGCGGCGCCCCGCTAGAAGGGGGCCCCCTGAGGGGGCACGTGGGGGCCTCTGCTCTGCTCTCCACAGGCTGCCTGCTTTCCTGCAGGAGGTCTGCACCTCATCAAAAGCTTTCTGGAAAAGATTTGTCCCTAAACTCACATATGAGCACTCCTCCTGTCTCCCCAAATAATTTCCACATCTTGTATGTTCGTTTGTCTTCTCCATTTTAGCTTAGAGGGAAAACTGGAGGAAAGAAGTGGGGCGGGGTGGGGGGGGGGGAGAGGAAGGAAAGAGGGAAGGAGGGAGGAAAAAGAAAATAGAAGAGGAAAGTGAAACCAAACCCGGCACACAGCCCGTGCTCCGGCCGGCCTGCCCTGCAGAGAAGCCCAAGCGGGAACCTAAGCTGTGGCTAGTTTTGCGGGTGGGGTGGCCCCTCTTCCCAGGCCTCCCCAGCCCCTGCGCTGGATTCAGGCCCCAAGAACTGGGCTCTGGGAGGCCTGGGGTGCTGCAGGGAGCCCGGCTCCCTCCCCCTAAAGAATACTGTCAGGCCCGCGGCCCTCAGCCCTCAACCAGCTTTCTCTGCCAGGAGGACTCCCCAGTGGCTCCTTAGGCGACAGCAGTGAAAACTAAGGTGCCCTCACCCACACCAGCCAGCAGCCCAGCCCTCCCAAGCACGCAGACGCTGGGCCCTCCTTGGGCAGGCCGGCAGGGACCCTCCTGGTGCCCCCTGGCCGTTCTGCAGCCTCCCCAGCTACCCTTAATTCATCCCCATCCCTGCATTTCTACTTCTCTCTGCAGCAGCAGTTTTGCCCACTGAGAGAAGCCTGCTCCATTCCCGGCGGTTAGGGTGTTCAGCCTGTGTTTGGGGATTTTGCTCAATTCCTCGAGACCCAGCATCCTGGTTCTAAGTTTCATTCTAAAGCAAAGAGGGAGAGGGCAGCCCTGGGTTTTGCTCTGCCTCTCGGATTGAGACTCTGAGACCAATTTAGGTGATGTCCTCTCGGGAACTGCAGCTCTCCCAGCCCAGAGGAGGAGCTGGTGCCCCCAGACAGAAAGGCGGGGTGCTCTGCGGAGGCCGGTGGGCTCCAAACGTGCAAACCACAGGGTTCACCGGACCCTGCCCCCATCCCAGTGTGAACAGACGTACTGGTCAAGCATCCTGTGCTGACCCCAGCCCCCCAGGGTGAAGTTTCCAGGGTGCCGCCCTGCCCGCTGCTCCCGCAGTCCAAGCCTTGGTCCTGCAGGTGGGAGATCGCAGCCTCAGAAGAGCTGAGGACAGCGCTTGCCCTGCCCTAGACACATTGTGCTGCCAAGGGTGGCCTTGGGCACGGAGTTGCGTTGGGCTGTCGTGGGGGTCGGGGCCTCGCTGTGCGGCTTCCTCCCCACGGGGCAGCTCAGGGGGCAGGTTCCTGCCAGTTGGCCCAGACTGCAGCATTTTTAAACAACTCTGGCCACTCCCCCCTTCAGCCTGGATGGGTCACCTGGAGCTAAGGCAGGGCTTAGTTCAGGAAACTCCTTTTCTTTCTATTCAGGATGAGATAGGGCAGAAACGAAAACCACAGAAAAACCAGCCAGGCTCCAGTGACTTTTGGATCTAAATGAATTTATTTTGTGTGTGTTTTTTTCTTTCCTCAGTTTCATAGCAAAAAAGAACCCAACGAAACCCCACAACACAACAAAACTTGCAAGAAGTTGATGTCTCCCGGGCCCCCCACGTGCAGGCACGGAAGGAGCCCAGGCCACGGTACAGGGGTGCAGCCCGGGGCTGGGGGCTTTCAGAGGCCGGAGCTCGGCCTCCCCTCCCTCTCTTCCAGCCACTCCAAAAGTCAGGTTGTTTAAAAAAGAATCCACAAACAAAACGAAACACATTTTAAATTAAAATAAAAACACTTTCTCCACCCGACCCCATGCCAGGAGATTCAGGCGAAACCTCCTCTCAAAAAAAATTTTTTTTTCTGCTAGAAATACTGTGCATTACTCCCCCCCCCCACTTTTGAGGGTTAAAATAAGATATATTTCCCCAGGAGTCATAAATAGGATCTGGTGCATAGAGAAATAGCAGCACGGGAGTCCCGGCCAGCTCCCCCCTCCTCCCCCTCCCCCCACCCCGTGGAGTACAGTAGGGCAGCAGGACTGAACACAGCATAGATAATGCTCCTCCGCGTCAATCTCTAGGGGACGCCAGTGGCAGGGTGGGGGGCAGGCGGGCAAGCGGGCAGGCAGGGGCCGGGACCCTCCGAGCGAGCGACACATGCTGGGACACGCGGACATCCGAGGGCAACCGCGGAGGGAAGAAGGGAGCTTTCTCCGGGGTTTCCTTTTCTGATCACGGAGCAAAATAAATACAAATACTTCGAAAATAAGACAGCTTCAAAACGGAGTACAAAAGGTCTGGGTAGGGAGGCCGAAAGAAAGGAGCCCAAGAGTGCAGGGCGGCGCGGGCTGCCCGCGGCGGTCCGGGGGAGGTCGGGCGCACAACCGCGCTCCAGGTACGTATAAGCGGACGCCAGGAAGGACTTCGACCCAGTCCACCTTCCTGGGAGTCGCCGTGCTCCGAGCAGAGTTGGAGCAGCGTCGGGACGGCGACCCGGGAGGTGCGCAGGCCGGGAGCGAGGAGGCCGCGCCGAGGGACGGGCCTCTGTCCGGTGCCTGCAGACGAGGCGCGCGGGGCCGGCTCGGCCGGAGGCGGTGGCACTCACGCGGGGGCCGGCGCGCTGGGGAGGCTCGGCGCGGCCTTGCGTCCTCGCCCTGAGCTGCGGAGTCCAAGTCCAGGCCCCCGGCCGCCCGCGCGAGTCTCTACTCCGCGGTGGCGCGGGCTCCTGGCCCCGCGCTCACAGGAAGAAGTCGGGCGCGCCCTTGGCCCCGCCGGGCCCGGCCTGCGGCGGCGAGGACTCCCGCGGGAAGCCGGCCCCGCCCGCGCCCCCGGGGCCGCCCCGGCCGGCCAGCTTCTCGTATTTCTCCTTGTACAGGTCCCGCTCCTTGGCCAGGCGCCCCACCTCCAGCTTCAGCTGCTCCACCTGGCTCTGAAGCTGGCACTTCTCGCTCTCCAGAATGTGCCGCTGCTGCACCCGCTTGAAGCGGCACGACTGCGCGTAGCCGCGGTTCTTGAGCGTGCGCCGCTTCTGCTTCAGCCGGATGACCTCCTCCTTGCTGAAGCCGCGGAGCTGCCTGTTCAGCTCGCGCACGGACATGGACACCAGCTGGTCGTCGGAGAAGCGCTCTTCCAAGCGCACGTGGTGGGTAGTGCCGCCGCCGCCGTGGCCCGCGCCGCCGTGGTGGTGGTGGTGATGGTGGTGGGCGGCGTGGTGGTGGTGGTGGTGGTGGGCGGCGTGGTGGGTTCCGTGGTGGTGGCCGGCGCCCACGTCGTCCGCGCCGCCGCCGCCCGCGAAGCCCTGGCCCCGAAAGGCCTCGTAGGCCGCAGCGGCCGCTGGGTGGTGCGCGCCGTGGTGCCCAGCGTGGTGGCCGCTTCCGATGAGAGCCTCCACCGCGTCCTCGGGCGTCAGGTTGAGCGCCTCGGGGTTAAGGTGGTGCTGGTAGCCACTCATCCAGTACAGATCCTCCAGTGCCGGCTTCCCCGAGGCGCCCCCGACGGCTCCGGGGCCCCCACTCGCCTGCCCCGGGGCGGCCCCGGCCTGCGCCGTGCCGCCGCCGCCCCCCGCGCCGCCGCTGGTGCCGGGGCTGGGCGCGCAGAAGCTGGGCGAAGAGGGCACGGAGGAACAAGGCGTGCTGAGCGGCGTCGAGGACAGCGAGCCGGGTGGCAGTCGGTGGCAAAAGCGCTCGGCCTCGGGCGGCTCCTTCTTCACCTCGAACTTCATCAGGTCGAAATCGTTCACGTACTCGATGGCCAGCGGGCTGCTGGGCAGCTCGGCGCCCATCGCCAGCTCCGCGGCCATCGCCTGGGGGGCCCCACAGCCTCGCCCGGCTGAGCCCCGACGGCAGGCGGGGCGGTGGGGGGGGGGGGGGGCGAGCCGCGGGCCTCTCCCCCCCCTTCGCTTCCCACGGGCGGTGGGTCCGGGCGGCGAGGGGCGCGGGCTTCGAGCCGAAGCGAGAGGCGAAAAGTTTCACGCGGCCAACTCTGGGGTGGCCAATGGGGACGCCGCCGGTAGGGCCTTTCGCGCAACCCTGGGTTGCTCCCCGGTGGATGCAGGCCGGCCGCTGTCCCCTGTTCTCCCCGCCAGCGGCCCGGCGATAGCCGGGCAGGCGGCGGTGCAGCCACCGCCTCGGGCTGCTCGGGTTCCCCGCGCTCCGCCCGCGTAGGGCCGGCCCCGCCTCTACCGCCAAGCTCCGCGCCGCGCGCACCCCTTTATAGGGCCGGACGCCTGGGCCCGCCTCTCTGGGAGGAGTACGCGCCTCCGGGCCAATAAGAGCCCCAGATCCGCCACTTCGTTTGCATATCCCCATGGCAACCCGGAGCCCAGCTGTCAATCTCCTGCGGGGAACAGCTGTGGGAAGGGGTGGTGACCCGCCGCCCAGGAGAGGAGGGGCAGGGCCCTCTGGTGGCCGCCTCGGGGGTCTGCACGGGCAGGACCTGGGGCGCCGGGGGCGCGCGGGGCCAGGCCTGCGGCCTCCGAGGCCTCGCATCCGCCACGGAGTGGCAAGAGTCTCGGGGAGCAGGGGGTGCTCCTCGGTGACCTCGTCCTCCCGCCGCCGACTGGCCGTGACCCCGCAGCCCCCTCCCAGGATTTTTTCCGTCGGTCCATCAGGGAGCCCGCGTCCAGCCTACTAGCCTAGTGGCGCCGGGACATTCCGGCCTCTCAACACGGGTGACGCTGCGCGGCCTGGCCGGGCGCTGCGCGGGAGCGCTGGTTATTTTTAGCTTCGCGGTTCAGGCGGGTTCAGGAATTTAGTCAACAAAGTTGCTGGCACCTCGGTGCGGCGGGATTCACCGCTGGGCGCCCGGTGCTCCGCTGTGCGGTGCAGGTGGAGAGGGAGTCGCGCGCGGAGCAGCGAAGACGGGGCCAGGGACCCGAGCGTGGGGGCCAGAGCCTGCGCGGCTGATGGGGCCTGGGGCTCCGGGGCTGGACCGACCCGGCACGGGCGGGGAGCGGGGGCTGGCCCAGGGCTGGAGGGCTGCCAGGCCGGCACAACGTTAGGAATCCGCCCCCAGGTGCCCGCCCACCCAGATCTGGCCTCCTGGCCGAGAATGGGGCCCAGAGATAGGTGGGGGCAGGGATGGGGGGTGGGCGGAGGTGGGAAGCCTCCAGCGCGATGAGAAGTCTTGAGAGCCAGACTCAGAGCCAGACTCGGGGAGCAGAGGTGGCTGGTTCCCCAGGGCTTGGTGACTGTGGAGCCACAGGTGTGCCCAGAGCAGGGGCCCTCTAGGGTCAACTGAGATGGGGGCATGACCCAGAGAGCCCTCCACCCATTCTCTATGCTATTATATGACTTCTACAGTTTAATTCATTCTTAAATGCAACCAACTATCTATGCACAGAAGGAAAAGTCTGGAGGGACTATGGGCAGGACGTCACCAGGGGCAGCCTAGCCATGTGCTGGGGAGCATTTATCTATCAGGGCTTCTACCCTGTTCCTCACAAGTGTCTAGTATTTTATAAGAAGAAAACTGGCACAATGGCAAGTGAAACCTCACTTTTTAATGTACCATGGGGGTGATTGACCCGGCTCCTCTCTCCTCCCACAGGGATGGCCCCAGCCTGGGTGCTCGGGCACATGTCTTGCCAGGTTTGGGGCTCCCTTTAAAGCCCTTTTGAAAGAGATGGGCATACCAAACTACCTTATCTGCCTCTTGAGAAACCTGTATGCAGATCAGGAAGCAAGTTAGAACTGGACATGGAACAACAGACTGGTTCCAAATAGGAAAAGGAGTATGTCAAGGCTGTATATTGTCACCCTGCTTATTTAACTTATATGCAGAGTAGTACATCATGAGAAATGCTGGGCTGGAGGAAACAGAAGCTGGAATCAAGATTGCTGGGAGAAATATCAATAACCTCAGATATGCAGATGACACCACCCTTATGGCAGAAAGTGAGGAAGAACTAAAGAGCCTCTTGACGAAAGTGAAAAAGGAGAGTGAAAAAGTTGGCTTAAAGCTCAACATTCAGAAAACTAAGATCATGGCATCTGGTCCCATCACTTCATGGCAAATAGATGGGGAAACAGTGGAAACAGTGGCTGACTTTATTTTTCGGGGCTCTAAAATCACTGCAGATAGTGACTGCAGCCATGAAATTAAAAAAGGCTTACTGGTGGAGAGGGAGGTGGGCGGGGGGGGGGGGGGGGGACCGGGATGGGGAATACATGTAAATCCATGGCTAATTCATTTCAGTGTATGACAAAAACCACTGCAATGTTGTAAAGTAATTAGCCTCCAACTAATAAAAATAAATGAAAAAAAAAAAAAGAGGCTTACTCCTTGGAAGGGAAGTTATGACCAACCCAGACAGCATATTAAAAAGCAGAGACGTTACTTTGTCAACAAAGGTCTGTCTCATCAAGGCTATGGTTTTTCCAGGGGTCATGTATGGATGTGAGAGTTGGCCTATAAAGAAAAATGAGTGCCGAAGAATTGATGCTTTTGAACTGTGGTATTGGAGAAGACTCGACTGCAAGGAGATACAACCAGTCCATCCTAAAGGAAATCAGTCCTGGGTGTTCATCGGAAGGACTGATGTTGAAACTGAAACTCCAATACTTTGGCCACCTGATGTGAAGAGCTGACTCATCTGAAAAGACCCTGATGCTGGGAAAGATTGAGGGCAGGAGGAGAAGGGGATGACAGAGGATGAGATGGTTGGATGGCATGACCAACTCAATGGACATGGGTTTGGGTGGACTCCGGGGGTTGGTGATGGACAGGGAGGCCTGGTATGCTGCGGTTCATGGGGTCGCAAAGAGTCAGACACGACTGAGCGACTAGAACTTAAAGCCCTTGGCATTCAGAGAGAAGCCACAGCTCAGAGGGGAGATACTGCATGACAAGCTGGCGGTCCATCTGCCCCTCTGAGATGGAGCGAGCCCTTGCACTGGCAACCTGGCCTCTGCTCCTCATGGTGTGGCTTCAGCCAGGCTGCTGGACCAGGCAGGAGTGTGGTTCCAGGCTCGGGAGGGTGCTGGGTGGAGCCAGGCTGGTGCAGATGGGGGTCCTCCTCACAGCTCCTGGCCCCAGGCCAAGGGCCACCGACCGCAGCCATTTCCGAGTTCTGTGGCACCCCCAGTCCCACCCAGTTGCCACGCCTTGTCCTAAGAGGTACAGTAAGTCTGCTAAAGCCAGGGAGGCCTTGCAGAACAGCTCCGCCCCACCCCAAACCTCCTTTAGGCCTGCGCTCAGCCACCCTAAGTCAGGGACAGCTGCCCCACATCTGGCCCAAAAATGTGGTGCTCAGGGGTGCAGGCCAGAGCCAGCCAGCCCCTTGCCCAGTCACACTCACAGGCCTCTCACTGTCTGTCCCCAGGGGAGAGGGACCCAGGGCAGGGCCAGCCGTAGAGACTGCACTCAGAACTGGGAACAGGCACGGGGGCCTTTGGGCAGCCTGGGACCAAGCGAGGCACCCATGTCCCTGACTGCCTCAGGCCCTCGGTAAGTTCTCCGGTCCTGGGCTTGGCCTCAGGTCAGACTGGCTTCCCAGAAGGTCTCTGGGCCTGCAGGCCTGGCCTAAGCTCTCAGGAGCAGGAGCCCTGGAGGGTGGAGGGGCCCGGAGTCTGCTCCCTGGCTTCTGGTGGTGGCGGCTGAGCCCTCCTCTGTCCTGAGTCATTGCCAGGGGGCTGGGAAAGGGGCTGAGTGCCCCCGTACACAGGCCCCAAACCCCCGGCGCCCTGCACTGCGGGCAAGACTGGCTCTCCCAGCCCAGGGAAAGTCTGCCCCTTCCTGACTTGGGTTGCAGGCTTCAGGCTCGCTCCTTTCTCTTCAAAAACCTCTTCGCCACTTGCTGGCCTGGGACCAGGCAAGTTCAAGGAGGGCTTCTCAACTGGCTCTCAGGGGCAGAGGCCACGAGGGCCCAGGGCCACCTCCTCTCTGCCACGAAAGGCTCGCAGCCCTCAGAGACGGCACTCAGGAGTGCTTCAGGCCCAGCCGTGGCTCCCTCGACCAGCAGTGGAGCCGGCAGAGGATGGGCCAATTCCACGTGGCCCAGAAAAGGCTCCTTTTCTTCCTCGCCCTCTGGGGGCCTCCCCCCCCCGCCCCCGCCAAACCACCAGCGCTCGGACCCAGGGGGCCACAGGGACCGCGTAGAGGCTGCTCAATAAATACACCCACATCTTTACTGAGCACCTTCTGTGTGCCAGGCAGCCTGTCCATGGGCAATTTCCAGCACCTTCCACCAAGGAGGTGGCCCAGGGGTCCCTGGTGGGAAACAGACGCACGTGCGCTCTGCAGTGGATGGGTCATCCTGGGTGCAGCTGGACCGTGGCGGCTGGGAGGACTTGAAGGCTGACGGATAGGACAGCTGGTGGCCGGCAGACTACAGGGCCGTAGCCAGACCAGCATCCGCACACGGCAGACCTCACAGCGTGGCGGCTGGTTCTCAGAGTGAGTGTCCAAGGGAGCCAGGCGTGGAGGTGGCAGTGCTTATATCCAGGGGGCACAGACACCATCCCCCATGGAGTCTGTAGGAAAAACTACACAGTCACAGCATCTCCAGAAAATACAATCTACCAGAGAGGGGGTGAGAGAGCAGGAAATAAACCATAAAATAGAAAGTGAACTACATAGCACATCGGTTTCCTGCTGCTGTGCAGTAAGTCAGCACAAGTTCAGCACCTGCAAGCAGTGCTGTCGTCCAGAGTCTTGTGGGGCTACGGTCTCAAGGTCGTGGGTGGCGGCGCTGTTGTCTGGAGACTCCTCTGGGGAAGATGCTCCCAAGCTCGCTCAGGTTGTCGGGACTGTTTCTTGGCGTCTGAGGAGCCAAGACCCCGGGCTTAAGGGGTTGGAGGC